AAGTCGAATCACGTACTGTGTCTCATTCTCCCCTTCTGTAATAAATTTCATCCTTTGGATCCCACATGAACCTGAGCTGTGTGTAAAATTAGGGGAGATCAAGAGAAGATTAATCTATCTATTTATGTAAATAATCTAATCTATGTAAATCAGTTAACAGCAGGCTAAAGAAGAATAAATGCTAGCATGAGCAGCCATTTAAAAAGCTGTTAGCGTTAGCTGGCTAGTTAACGCAGCTGGTTACAGAAACGTTAGCTTCGACAAACTGTTGTTTGTTGTCCTGACTCAGGAGGTGACAAAATTAAAAATGTGCATTTTGGTTGCATGGAAGTTTACGGAGTAAAGTCAGCCTACAGCTCAAGGGACAATTTAAATATCCTAAAGAGGGCACGAAACCACACTTTTCCAATACTCATACTGATCCAACATTTTTTCTATAAAAGCCTATTTTCAAGAGATGAGCATCTAGTACTCAAATACTCTACTACACTACAGTCAGAAAACACAGCTAAGACTGCATCACACACTTTCAGTATAAGCTATTTCAGGACAGATTTGTTATAGAATTGGATCAGATTCATTCTTTTGTTCCCTCTGATATCTGATCCAATTTTAAGTGCTCAACCCAATACCAATACCTGGTCTCAGATACTTCTCAAAATGTGTAAATCATCATTGTTTCAAATGATAATTCTGTATGGGTGTGAAAGGTCATACTGTTAAGATTTATCAGATGTAAAGTCAAGTCACAAGTCACTCACTTGATTTATCAGATGTGTTTTTTTGCTGTGTAATGTTAGCATTGTTGATTATAAATGTTTTGGCTATTGATGTTTGCTCACCGTTTAAAGGCAGTTCTTCACAGCATTATAGATGATACTCATTCAGTGTTTATGGAGAACACATATTTGAAAGGTATTAACACCTTTGAAAACCAGCTATTTGAAAGGTATTAACATTGTTAGAAGGCAAATTATCCTAAGGCAACTGGTCGATGACATCACTCTTTTTTAAGGACTCTTCCCAGATTCCCTTAGCTCTTGATGTCATTCAGGCATTATCAAATGCTTCCGGTCTTCACCTGAATATAAATAAATATAAGTTTATGGCAGTTAAAAATTGTAAGATCTCAGAAGTATTAAGTAGGTGTATGTGTCAGTAAACTGGCCTGAAGCAAAGGCTGCCTGGCCTATCCTTAGTTTTGCAAAAGATTTTCAGAGGGAGGATGTAATTGTTGCACGCATTATGCTCCTTTTAGACTATGGTACTTACAGCAACTCATCTTTGTACGGTAACTCTGAGAATGTCATATTTATTGCACTACGAGTCGTCATAGATGAAACACGGACTACACACACACACACACACACACACACATACACACACTTATTCTTCCTGTGTCATTTGCAGTTGCAGTATCGGAAACCCCCCATTCTGCTGTGTCTGCTTGTTGAGCATAGGTACATAGCACTGAAATTCCTCTGTAATTATCCTGCTGGCTGCATGTCCTGTCCTGCTGTCTTCTCAGGAACACATTAATGATCATGCAGGGGAAGAAAATCTCTGGAGCACAACCACTGGCCGTTTAATCCCCACTGATTGTTCATTAGCTGGATCAGTCAGTCTAAAGAAGGGCCACTGAACATATCATCAGGTCTGGGGCCACTTCACTGACATTTAAATCTCTGTTCTGCTGCTCAAATTACTCGTTCCGCGAGTACCAGTCATCTGTTGAACTTTTCCCTCACAGTCTAGGCACAAGTCTATGTATTCTGTCTAGGAATTGTTGAAATACCCACCAGCTAAGAAAAAAATGCATCCTTCTGTCACCTCAACATTCTGCCTGCAGCACCAAACCTCACTCTAGACTACAAAACGCTGACACAGGACAACATTCGTTTTAAGTGGAACTGTGATTTAACGCATGTACACCATGTGGAAAAGCTGTGGGGGGTGTGACATCACTGCTGTGATTGCAAACTCGATAGCTGTACCTTCCTGGTTCATTTTTTGGGCCCTCCTGTATGATTTGTCAAAGACAGGTGGGCTGATTTTAGCTATAAATCAGGCATCTCAAGTATCTTGTGGTAAGCCATTATTTTAGTTTTAAAGGCTACATTTACTTTTAGCCCATTCTTACTGACAATAACCCTACACATGCTCTGCCCACAAATGCACTGGTTTGCAGCAGTGGTGTAGTAATAAAACAAAAGTGGGTGTAGCATAAACTTACTTGTTGACTGCCAGCACCCTACCACATACAGTCAACAAGCACACCAGCCTACAACCAGCCTACCACATACAGTCAACAAGTACATCCGTAGTTTAGTATAGTTTGGTTTTGCAATGTTGTGACACTCTTCTACACAACATAGCAAAACAAACACAAAATAAATTTATATAGCTGAGAATAACATAGTTTACAAATGCTTTTTTTTAATCCTACCATTGACAGCCCTTTTGTTTATAAACATTTCCAAATATTTTGGTCTTATTCTGAAACACTTGTTTCACAGAGCTGACATTAGCAAACCTTATCCCAGGCTAGTTAACGTTTTGTGCTATTAGTATGCTAGACTAGCACGCCATAATATCAGAATCAACATTCACAGGAGTTTTCATTCATAATATGTCTATTTTTACCTCAGACCCTCTCCCATGTCTGTGACTGATTGAAGGAGACCTGAACATGGTGGTATTCACAGAAATGGATGAAAATGAACCAAAATCTAAATTGTTTATTAATCATAGAAATAACCAATCACATTGTGCTCTGTGTGATGTTTTTCTTCTCCCTGAATTCTGAGGCATCTTTGAATAAAAATGTAAGTGGGTGTATGCAAAAACGGATTGAGAACATATAGAAGTTAGTTTACGAAAACAGCTCAGTGAAAGAAAGTCAGTATAGCCTATGTATATGTGCATATAAACCAGATTATGCTACTGTATTATAGCAACTGTTGGGGGTTTTGACAGACATTGGAAAAAATCTCATTCAAATTTTTTAAAAATAGTTTTTGTCAAAATACAGAAATGTAGAGTACTTTATTGATTTCAAATGATATTTATTTTGTATCCATGTGAAAGCCACACTGTTAGGATAGGCTGGGTGCAGTTGAGGTGTGGATGTTTCCTGGATGGATAATCAATTTCGGTTTTAAATGCATGTATTATGCATTTAAAGCTGGAAATCCAAAATTCTATAGCGAATCTAAACTCTAAAAATTGGAAATCATGTCCAACCTGTAAATCGTCTAACCTCACAAAAGTTGCTGAGAAAAAACACATGGAGAAGTCATTTAACCTACAATAGCAGTGAATGTGATACACAGGTCAACACAAAATGCTACTAAGCAATTCTGGATCTTCTCTTCTGTCCTTTATACATCTACGTTTTTTTTCTGAGTCACGTTCCCAATATAGACAGATCTACTGAGGACATTGCCAAATACTGTGAAGTGGCGGGAGGACCCTTCTTCACAGCCAATTACTCAGAAGCATCTGATCATGACACTGTTTTCCTGACAACCTTCACTGCCTTTTAAGGCAGTGTGGATGATAATGTAATGAAACATGGCCTTTTATTTCAGTAGAAGTCACTCATATCTAGTCCTCGATTTATGAACATGAGCATCTCTCAAAGTGGGATCTGTGGTATCAGGCACAGGGAAGGTGGAGAATTTAGGTCATTGTTAGGTCATTGCTAATATGCTGATAAGCTTGTTACTTAGCACATCAGCAAAAGATTTGTCATTAGTTACAATTGTACTGAAGTTGTAAATTCATGTATCACCACAAATGTATTTCATAGTGCATTCAAGTATGTCATAATGTAACTCTTTTTCCATTGAACTTGATTGTTTTTAGCACTTATTGTTAGTGGCTAAATAACTGAACCAACCATGCCATGTCTTAAGTGATTTAAGGCATCTATGCTTTTATTAAAAAAACCCAGCAAACTACTGAGTGATTTAGATGTAAACAAATTAATTCACAGTGGTTTTGTGTGAAACAGTTCATTGTAGAGAAACTTTAATTGCAGACAAATTCAGATTTCTTAACAGTGGTGATGATAGGAACCAGGGGCTGTGATGTCTCCAAGACAAATATAGCCATTCGATTCACTATGCAAAACAACCAGTATTAAAATGATGATAATGGTAAAAAAGTGCTAAATCTGAAAAAGTTTTTTGAAACCATTTTGCCTTACAATGCCTTGCATGCATGGATTTTAAACGTTACAGGAAGCTAGCTGAAGTCCTTAAAGTTGCCCAGTGTTCCAAACACCTCATTGGTGGATTCAAAAAGAGAAAAAGAAACAAGAGTGGAAACATCAGGACCTGCTGCAGCAAGTTTCAGAGAGCTGTGGAGCTATGAAATGCTCAGGCACACACTTGCAACACTGGCTACAGAGTAATTACAGGTTAGCGTAATGACATGGTGGAGCACAGGGTGAACAAGTTTGATCCAGAAAACTCTTCCGAAAACTTACTAGTGCAGCGCAGAGACATGAGCAGAGATTAAGAGTGAAAACAAGACAAGAGCAGGCAATGAGACTGAACCACTTACAAGGCAGTGAAGGAACAAAAGATATGCAGGGTAAGAGAAACAGGGCAAGGAGGGTGGATGAAGAGGGAGGGTGAGAACCTGAAAGTCCACATTTTGTGGCCTGAGGCTGTGCAGCTCACAGGAAAGCAGACATACAGTATACTCACACAAACCAGTACAGGCAAAATAGTACACATACATTTGCATGGGCATAACACAGGGCACAAACACATGCATACTCATGCATACACAAGACCACATGCACAAAGTGATGCTGAACATTATCAGATCCACAGAGGATGTTAACCTGTGCTATTCAATTTACTAGAACGAAGATAGTCACGCACAGATAACAAATTGCACCAACTGTTGCAAAAGGCGCAGTCCCTGCCAAAATCCCTGAAATCCTTCTTCGAGCCCAGAATGAAACAGGGGGCGTGCAACTCAGAAGCTTTTCGTACATTTCTTTTTTATTGAAAAGCTGAAAACTGTTTACATTCAAGTACAGTGTTGCACAATCGCTCTATTATCCACATACTTGCTCAACCCGACCTGGTCCGTCTTAAAGGATCTACACCGTTGACTTAAGGCAAACGAACCTGCTCGACTGGCCACTTTCTAAAGCACACGTCTGTAAGTTCACAGCAGTACAACAGTAATTTGTAAAATGTAAAGCACCGCATTAAAAAAGAAAACACACACAGAACACATATCTGAGTTCATGCATGCCAGTATACAGCTATCGAGGACTGTGGGTTTACATCATGTCACTTGAACAACAAGGACAACAGAGGACAGCTCTGGTTTCTATGACAATGGTAGAGTATCAGTTTTGCCATCAAAGCGACAGAGAGATGACTACACTATAGGCAGACGCTGGAGGGCAGGCTTCAACACTGACACCAGAATAGACATTAGCTGTTAGTACAGGAGGGGGCAGGATTGAAATCTAATGGGGAAAATTCCAGACTAGGGTGGTTTGAATAGGTACTGAATAGCTAATTTAAGCAAGGCTAAAAAAGTGGAACAGTGAAGGTAGTCTTTGGTGGTATTATTATTATTATTGTGCTCGCACTTCTTGAGAACTATATGCTAAAAGAAGGTCTTACAAACCTGAAAGAGCTTGTTTTGACTGAACTTTTTGTTCCTTTTCTTTTAAAAATCACAACAAAGGGAACTTTACACAGTACTGTAAACGTTCATCAGTAGAATCCAGGTTTTGAGAAAGGAAACTTACTGTTTATGAAGTTTCATATTAATTGTGGGAATTCTGGGCCAATGCTGATTTTTAATATTTGACAGCGCATAAATGTTTATTAAATGATGAAAGTGGTACTATATCTACGTGCATTTGCATTACAGAGAAATATGACCGTTTTTTCTGTAGGGTTACACATGCAGTGAAATGATTTAAATGGAGATATTTTGGTCTAGTAGCCCAGCATCACCTAATGCTTTGCTCTTCTGGTCTTATTCTAAAGGCTGGTATAGGCTTCAACACAGTAGGCTGGGGATCGATCCCCAAGCACACCACACTAACCAATAAGAGTCTTTGGGCAATGCTCCTTATGCTACATTCACCTAACATCTGTAACATAATTCATTTGCAAGTCGCTCTTGCCAAATGCATAAATGTACAAGAGTACAAAAAAATACATCATCAAATATTAATTTGAAATATCACTTAAGTCTAAACATCTGTATAATGCTGATGCTACTTTTAAGCAATTGTCTTCCAATGCAGATATTATTCTGATATTACTATTTGTCATATATTTTATTAAATTTTATATATAAATTTGTTATATTTATGTACTTTCAAAAAGAACTGCAGTTAACCAATGTATCTAAAATATACAAACTAAACTAATAATTAATATTGGTTAATATCAATACCAGTCACCAATACCAGTACAGGCCAGCACTAAGTGAAGGCCTTGTATTGGCTTACGTTGTGCTCGAAATAACAGTAAGACTACTATATTCCAATTGGTACAGTAACTGCTTCTTAAAATAGCTTGCATGAGCTGATAGTTTGCACTTTTGCCCACTAGTGGCACTTCTTTAAACTAATATGATATGACATTCAAGATTCATTCTTTTTCTTAACACTAAGGAAACATGAACCAAAACCGGTTTGTTGACTGGTGGCTTAGTCATCTGCTAGTTTTTTGGGTGTAGAAGGAACAGCGTGGGTACAAATGTAAAGCAGATAGAGGGGAAAAAGTCCCACTTCCGACAAGCTGCCTACTTGCCACGCCCTTTTTTCCCAACACTCCTTCTATTGTAGCCACTCTGGAACATATAACAGAATTTCAAAAAGTAGCGGATGTCAGGTTTTTATAGTAGATCATTCAAACCCAAACAGTAAATTACATTAGGACAAGCACTTGAAAAAATAATAAATAAATGGCAACTTAGAAAACAAAACAGTGGATATACTGTTAAGTTAAGCAGATAATATGCCCATTTTGTAAACAACCTGAGAACATTTCTGGCTAAATATATAAGATAAAGCATCAGTTAACCCCCCCCAAATTGTATACTGTTAGATCACATTGGTCAAATATATGTATATATGTATAACAAATGGCCCAGTGCATTTCAATCTCAAAAATACAAAAACAAAATAAAAACACAAAATAAACTTTGCTAACTGTTTCCATTAAGGCACTGATTTAATTCAATTCAACATCAAACAATAGAGTAATTTTGTAAAATACAAAATGTATTACTTTTCATTAACAATTTGACTGCAAATATGCACATGACTTGTACTTGTACACTACAGGCACTTGAGCTGTTGACATTCGTAAACAAAATTAAACATGCTGTATAAATAAAATGTATCATTAATTTATTTGTGTCTTTACTATCCCATTCCATTTTCAATGGCCCTTTAGAAAGATGATTTTCCTTTTTTTTATCTTTTATGCTTTTATATAATTTAAATGTCAAATTATAACCACATTCCAAACACTACAGTCACTACTGGGACCATTCCTGAAGTCAAGTCAAATGAAAGTAATTCTCTGTAAGAAGCCGTGTTCTTTACAAGTGAAGCTATGATGGAAGACCACAGGACTTCAAAGTGGCCCAGTGTCGAAAACCATCAATTCACTCAGCTAACGCTGGACAATGCGTAGACGCATAGCAAAACACTGCAGCTTAAAAAAAATCTTAAAAGTTTGATTTTGAAGCCAATAATCATGTACTTCTGTTGGTTGTATTGTGTGAATGTGTGAGCAGGAGTCAAGCGTGTCTAGGACTTTATTTTTTTGTGTAGGAGTGCCAGGACATATCCTCTGGAATGTCCCAAAACAACATATTATGCACACTCAGACTCACACATGCACACACACACACACACACACACACACACACACGCACACACGCACACACGCACACACACGCACAAGCACAAGCACACCAGTCCACATTACTACTACCCATTATCAAAATAACTGTCTCACCACTGTGCGTTCATTTGAGGTTTCAAAAAAGACCAAAAAGAATATATCTCTTTGAAAATCAAAAAGCACTCATGGTTGTTATCATATCCCCATCATGAACAATAACTGTGCTAACAGAAAATACTCAATGGGTTTGGGTTTCTAGCCTGACAGCTCAGGTGAAGGTGACTTTGAAAACCTCTTTCAACAGAGTCAGAGCCATTTGAACTCCTCATTACAGCACAACACATCTTTGTGGACGACGCCCAGGAGAGCACAGTAACAGCTAGCCAACGAAACCCGTGGAATGTCACTGCCCACAAAAATGTCTCATCCTCTTTTTTTTCTTTTTTTTTCTCCCCATTCGTACACTCCGAACGTGCTGAGGCTTGTCCTAGGGACAACTTGTTGCAGTGAGGAGAGTTGGAAGAAAAAAAAAAAAGGAAATGAAAAGTCTTGAGATGGTGGCTTAACAGAGGTGACACGACAAGATGCTGGCACCTTAACGGCAGGTGCTGTAAGATGTGCAACGTCTCTGTTTTCTTTGGCAGTAATGAGTCCCGTGGCTCTGGAATCCTTTGACACTTCTGGGCATACATTTTTTTTTTTGTTGCCTTCAAAGCCTGTCGTATGCTAAGAAGCATGCCCGTTACTGATGCACTGTTTTCTTTCAGAATCAGTGGTGCGATGTTCTACTGTGACAGTCTGTCGCAGCTGAGGGGCTGGGAGAGGGGATGGGGGGGTCTCAGGTGGTGAGGAATGGTATATCAAATTTCTTTAGGAACAAAAGGAACAGAACTCTTCAGCCAAAGATTAGGGAACAATGGGGTCAAAACTCTGAAGCTGGAGGTTGCAGGGAGGAGGGGGGACCAGTAGTATTTGGTCTTCACAAGTGACCCATACCCCTTCCATCCTCATGTCTTCAGTGTAGTGAGGAACGCAGTGGGGTTTTCCTGGGCCATAACAGAGACATTTGGGTTGGTGGGTGGCAGGCTTTGGGAATTCCCACATCGGAACATGACCTCTGTGGTTTGAGGTGGAAAGGTTGCAGAGAAAGAGAGAGAGAGAGGGCCAGCCCTGAAGGTGTGTTCCACTTATGAGGGTAGTTTTTCCAGCTGCCCTGGTGGAACGATCTTGCAGGTAGAAAAGACAAGTTGGCTGAAGAGCTGGTCTAGTAGATTCTTTTAAAAAAAGGAAAAGGAAAAAAGTAACACATTTTCATTTAGTCTAAACCAAACAACATGTAATGCATGCAACATTTAAAATATCTAAAGTTGTAGGCCATATAAATATATATATTTGGCAACCTAAACACCATTTTTTCAAAACAACTGTAGGCCAACAGTAAGCGTGCTTACAAATTTTAGCAACCTAAGCCACTGACAGTACAAGTAACTTCAGACTAATCAAAATAATGTATGACCTCATGCAAGATGTGAACATATTAGACAGTTTCATGTGATCATCACAGACATTAGCACTCTGACAAATATGCAGCTGCAACACATGTAGCACAAATGACTGTGATTTTCTGTCACCATGTACACTGTCATTTGAGTCATATTTTTGTCATGGTATTAGACTTGGTGTCACGACACCTCTGTCATGCAAGGCACCTTTTCATTTAACACTAAGGACAACCCTATTGACATGCCACAGCGGCTCTGTCACATCTAAAACACTGGCTTCCTCAAAACTGGATTCTTGTCTAAAAGATAGCCTAGTGTTAGTTTTTTATAGTAGTAAGCACACCCAGCACAAGTTCAGGAAAACTGCCTTTAGTAGATCATTTAGCTTGAGTATCTTTCAACTACTCATTAATAGGAAAGGTGAACAGGTCTGTATGAAAAGGCTATGAACTAAGCTAGCAGCTAACCCTGAGGGTTGGGTGGCTACACCCTTGGCTAGAGTCAGCAAATAAGACATAGTGGCAAACCTTTTTCAGGAACACTGTACAAGTCAAAAAGAAGTAAATAAGAATTTCAGTCTCACATATGCAATAAAACATATCCTCAAAAGAAAAAGGCAGTAAACAGCTAACTGGCTGTTACAACAAAAGATAGCACTGCTACTGTGGCCTGAGGCAGAAACAAAAAACTTGTCGTTTTTTGTCATCAAAGGAAGACTCACCGGCTTACATCTCCCTGAAGGTTAATATGGTGATGCAATACTGAAAAAAAGAAAACAAGAAGTAAGTTAAAAAAAAAAAAAACACATGATCCAAAGCATAGTCTTTCAAGTTGAACAACAGAACTGCAAGATATCAGTGAGGGTTGCTTACATGCTAACTTAGCTTTGTTTTATCAGTGGGATTACTTTTAGCTAATTCCTTAATGCGTTCTTGTGTACTTCGGAGAACTAGTCCAGGAAATCCAAGACTAAAACAGAAGTCTAGCTGAGGGAGATCAGATTTAAACCCTTTTGCAGTTCTGAGATAGACAGACAAAACAGATAAGAATAGTAAATACAGATAAAGCTAGAGGGGAAACCGAAACAACAATTCACAGGTGAAAAAGAACAGACCTGAGTGAAAAAGAGAGAGAGCGAGCGAGACTGTGTGTATGTGTGGACTTGTGTAGACATGAGTGACATTCCATCCGTATTCCTACTCTGACACCATCCCGTCCCCCACCCTTCCTCTCCTCAATAGCTTCCCTCCTTTTTTACTGTGTCTTTTTAAATGGCAAAAAGAAGGAAAGAAATCCATCTCGTCTAGCGATCTTTCAATGTCTTCTTGTCACAGTCAGTTCCTTTCTAACTTGAAGGGTCAGTAACGGTGTGAGATATCCTCATGATGGAGACGCTTCCAAAACAGTTCCTTCACATAATTCATCTGCTTTACAAAAGAATACTTAAGTACACTGTAAGATGGCCTACATAAACACAGGGAGAGCACCTGACAGAGGAGAGAGAACAGCACAAGCTGGCCTTCTTGTTGACAACTCAACAGAAGACAACAACAGTGCATCCACAATGCAAGCCAGATGTGAGGGGATGAAAAAGCTTGTCAGAGAGATGAAATAAATGAGTTGAAAATGCTAGAGATGGAGATAAGACATAGAGAAGCCATGAAAGAAAACTAAACAACACAGAGCAAAGAAATGGAGAGAGGAGGCCACAGAGTTGGATCGCTCTCCCATACAGTTTGTGGCGGGCAAAACTCACAGAATGTAGCAAAGACCGACCACACCACACAAGACAGATAGACAAAGAATCCATTTTACTTGACTGCAGCTTCACTATTTTATCTGCTTTAAATTCAAGGATTCAAGGTTTAGCCTGTCACTATCACTTCCTCTATTTCAATATCAAACAAACAAGGGGTCATTTACAGTCAATGAACACAAACTTTATGCAAATAACAAACTAACATTGAGGATTCTTATAGAGCAGACAAGTTTTGAGTATTGGGTTATCTGTCATATCTTGCCATCATCAAAAGGTGCATTTGTTTGGGATTTCTGAATTTGACACGTCACGGACACACAAAACATTGTTTACTGCTGGATTTGCACAAGTGGATACTGATGATCGCGAAGCGTGTGTCCATGTGGGTGGGCATCTGTATGTGAACAGGGCTATAGCAGGAGTGCTGGTCATGCTGGTTTGCTATCAAGCAAACAGATCTACAGTATCTGTTCACCAGAAATACTGCTTTAAACATTTGCATGCATGAGTACAAACTCATTTTCCTTTTTCTGCTCCTACCTCTGACTGGCAACATGTATTCAACAAAAAAAATATAATAACTGGCAGGGTAACTGGAACAGTAGCACAGGAAACAAAGCAATTTAACCTCTTTCTGCAGGCCCCCTAGTAGCCATTCAATGGGCAGAATAGAATTGGATATATTTAATTAATTTAATAAAATTTAGGAGAGGAAAAAAAATGATTTTTGACATGAACTACCATTTTGAGGAAGTAAAAAAATGTGAATAAATATGCTTTAGATCTAAGTCTCCCCTTATTTTTAGTCTGATTAAAAAATGTTTCTAAAAGAAGCTGTTAATGATTGAGTAATGATGACTCTTAAATGGCCAGTTTAAGTTTTATTACACACTTCAACAACCCAAGAATTATTTTGTCACTGTAGTTAATTAATAATAAGCCTTAGTATGTAATAAGCCTGGGATTTTAGGGGGTTAACTAACAGAAGCCTCTTTGCATCACAACCGCTAGGGCTTATGGTTTAATATGCTGCAAACTTTCTCTTTAAGAGTGCACGTCGGTGTCTACACCAATAGGGAGACTACATGAAGAGGCTTTACCAAAAGCAATAACAAGGTCTTGTAACCGATTTTTCAAACAGTATCGATTCTGTTAAAAATCCATCAGCAAATGTTAATATCTCTGTGTTTCTTCTTTATGCTCTTAGGGAGTTTTTCCTTCCACTGGTGCCTTTGCTTTACTCATCTGGGATCTGGCCCTGGAATGCTTTAAAGCTGCTGTGTAATAATAAACTGCTACAAGTTCAAATGAAATCATTTAAGGCAACACAGCTCAGGGTTACTGTTAATGGCTCCTGTAACTCAAAAACCAGCCGATGGCTAGCATTCTTAGCACAGAGCTCATCAAGGCCAACGGCTGGTTAGCCAGGCGACATACTTAATTTAGAGTCTGCATTCAGTAAGTGACAGGCGAAGACGCATGAGGTTCAGAAAAGCGTGTTGGCCAGGCATGCATGACCTCCATTGAACCCACAGAATGCATCTTCAACCGCCACTCAGCTTGACAATGCACCTCCACGCTCAGTGTTTGGTTAAGGGAGAGGACGGTGAGGTTAGGAGAAGAGCAGGGATCCAACCACAAACCCCGCTCATTAAAGAGTCAAATTACGGTAGAAAAAATGTCAAATTACCCTAGCAAAACGGCGAGCAATGTCAGTTATGTGATAGATTTAAATCATTAAACATTGCAGTGAGTAGTTGTTTTTTTCAGTGCCATAGAAAACACACATTTTTCAGCTATCTTTGGCTGTTTCACGGAAACAAGAGTCTGGGTTTTTATGACGTACATTGACAAAAGCATGCTCTGATGCTGAATTCCCTTATTTTGTACAGTCCATTGTATAAAAGCACTCCCATCAGTTGTGGACTGAACCAGGACTATTTCTACTCACTGCCCCGTTACTGTACTGCTAAATCAGAACAGTCACTTCCAAAGTAGCACTTTTTAAATTAAAACCACAGGACAATTCTTCACATAGCCAAGAAAGGCCAGCCCACTTTTCAAATTGTACTAGTGCACTATGAGTTAGTGGAAAGTATTTTTTTAAAAGAAGAAGCAGCAGCACTCAAACAAATTTGGATGTTTCCCCTACTTATTTAAATACAAACCTAAACCTGAAGGTAATCATGGTACTTGAAGGGACAATATTAGAGTATCTAGCTTTTCAGATGTTGCCAAACAAACTGGAAAGAACCAAAATGCACCAGCATTTAAAAATTTCCTTAAAAAAAAACAAAAAACAAAAAAAAAACAACAATTTAGGAAGGAACATAAGGAAAAAATTAAACCCTTGTTAAAAATAAGTTTATTGAATGTGATGATGTCCTATTGGGATATTATCCAATCAGCTATTTGTCACTGTGAAGTTTATGCAGTAATGCATTGTTGCTGTTCACATGCTCTCTATTACTAGTCTTTTATAACTGGTCAAGATATAGTCAAAAAATGCCTTGTTGTGTCATGATAACGCTAACATATCACACTGCTCACCTCTATATAAACATAAATGTATTTCCCATGCACCTTGTCTGTTACCATCTGTTAGGGATCCCCAGGATGTGGTGGACTGCATCACATCCTTTGTGGTAAATCATGTTGTTGCATTCATATGTAGAACGCTGCAGCCTGACTGCAGATAACATCAGTAACATATGTGCCTTTTTAAAGATCAGTAACGTATAATCTTAACTATAATGTGTTGTACTGAGTGAAAACATATTATATTTTCTATGGGGCAGGAATGTACATGTACATTCAAAATTGGCTGGACTCCCTCATAACAAGGTTTACATGTTCCAGGATGCTGGGAAATACCAGGAATGGTTTGGAGTAAAGAGAAATTTCACTCCAGCACTGTAAATGACATAAAGAAGGAGAAAGCCAGGGAAAAAACAAAGAAGCAGCACTGAAGCCAGAGAAGGAAAGGAGAGAAAGAACAGAGGATAAATGCTAAACTCACTCTCCAGGCTTCCTTCTTTTACGGATGATGACCCCAATGATGATTGCCACAACCAAGAGAACAGCTATGACAATGGCAGCTATAGCTCCACTAGAGAGCTGGTCATTCAGCTCCCCCTCTCCTGAAAAACATGACGAGGGAATCAGTTTATTGCTGAACACTTCCATACCTGCACATGCAGCATATACAGACCTAAACAGTACCATGGCCTATACATTCAAAGGTTTTATGAACAACAATCTTTTTGATGCATGTTTGTGTTCATATTATAAGATATTATGAATTTAGGTATGCTGTTTTTAAACCACTACAAAGTGATAGGTTATTCTTATCATTGTTCTTCAATCAGTACAGAACAGAAAAAAACTTTTGCATAGGCCATGTTTCTTTCAAACATGTTAAATTCAGCAAATAAACAGTAATTGTGCATTAAAATGTGCAGAAAATCTTTGCAGCATAGTTTCCATATATGGACTGTATGTCCTAGGTATTGAATGGTACATTTTGAAACTATCATGTGCACAGAAGTAAGGAGTAATCACAGCCTGCGGTTAACAAAAAAAGCTCTTAACTGTTTTCATCAAACAAGTTCACCACAGTTCCATTTGTTACGTTTTGTGAAGCTGAAACTTAGTCTGAAACTGGAACCCTGTCGCTGTTGAACTTACTTTGTGAGACAGACTCCTAGATTCTGCAAGGCTAGGAGCAAAACTGATATGTGCATTAGCCTTACCTTTCACCAAGAGATTATGGGTGGCTTTCTGGCTGAGTCCTGTGATATGGTTGTATGCCTCACAGGTGTAGATGCCGCTGTTTTCGAGGCTGGGCTTCTCAATCTTGTACTCAGCTGTCGTGATCTCCAAGAGTGAGCCGTTGAACTTCCAGATGTAGGTGGCAGGAGGAACAGAGGCAACTTTGCATGTCATCACAACTGTGTCGACCACCTCTGCTTTCTTCGGTCCTTCTATGGACACTTTCTCTGGCCCATCTGATGCCATGCAAGAGAGAGACCAGCACAGCAAGGTTAGAGGGTATTTATACAATTGTTCAAAAGTTTGGAATTGCTGCTCAAAAGGTTTGGAATGTCGTTTGAAATTAATGTTTTCAATAATGTAAAACCAAGTCTGTTGCAGATACAAGTTAAGGAAATTTATACCCAGCATGTGCTGTACTTGAAAACTGACTATTAAATCTTGAGGCAGCTAACTGAATTACTAAAATTAGACTACAATTATACATTATGTATCGTTTAATAACTACATGTTGGTCCCAAACAACTCTTAGGCCCTAGTCCTACATTTTGTTTTTGCCCTTGATGTCCATTTATGTGTTTTCTGTAGCAAAAACTGTCATAATTTATTTTTACTTGACAATTTTCTAACCATTCCCCTTTGAACTAAACAGGCTGTTTATTGTTACTGCGTCTTTAGGATCAGTATAAGATAAAGAAGCCTTGTTCTTATTCTCTGCCCTGTATTGTGCCTCATCCATTATAATTCCATATATGGACTGTACACACTGGGTAGTGAATGGTATATATTGAAAATGCATATTACAGGGGTGCACAACCTCGGTCCTGGAGGGCCGGTGTCCAGCACAGTTTGGTGATTTACCTGCTCGAACACACCTGATTATACTTATCTGTTAATTGCCAGGTTAAGTGGGTGTGTTTGAGCAGGGAAACCTCCAAACTGTGCTGGACACCGGCCCTCCAGGACCGGAGTTGTGCACCCCTGACATATTACTTCAAACTTCAAAAGATACCAAAGAGATAGCGAAACAGAAAAGAGATGACACTGTGCAAAGAGACCAACTCACAACCTAGGGACACAGTGCTGCATTCTGTCAATGATACTCAGGTAAAGACGACAAATAATTGAAGAATTTGCATTCCAGATGATTGGTAGATAAGAGACACCACTACTACCACATCTGAGATACCAGCAGAGAAAAACAGGTCCTTATAGAAAAGATAAAGGTTTAAACACACACAACTCTGTGGCTACACTCACAGTAGATCTGCATGTTGTAGATGCTGGAATCTCTGTTCAATTTGTTGCTCAGCTCGCATTTGTACTTTCCGGCGTCCTCTTTCTGCACTATCGGGATGCTGATGGTCCTCTTGTCAGTGCTGATGATGACGCGGTCACTGGCAGCCAAAGGTTTGTCATCTTTAAACCAAGACACGCTGTCTGCTCTGCCCACGCTGGATTTGCAGGTGAGGTTGGCTGTGCTGTTGCCAGCAATGAGCAGTGAAGTGGGGCCAGTGATGTTGGTGCCAGAGATGGCTTCTGTTAAATAGAACCACATAAACAATAGCACTTTGTTAAAGCCAGAAATTATTACACATTTTCCTTCTGTATTATATGATCATGGTACCGGTGGTGGGAAGGGTGGGGAGGCAGTCTCAGAGCTGGTTTTTGCTGACTGATAGGTGGGGGTGGTGTAAGTTGGAGGTGAAACATGTTATTGACATGATATTAGTGGTAGTTTCTCCACCCGCTGGTCCACAATGTTGCAATCAAAACTAGAGAGATGGGCAAATGCCACAACATTTTTGATGAAAGATTACGGGACAATAAGAGTTCAGTCTTTTAAATGATATGAATCATGCTTAATATTAGTGATGCATGATGATATCAGAATATCAGTATCAGCAGATTTGCTTAAAACAATTTATCAGCATCGAACAGACTTGACCAATATTATGAATGGATATTTGATAACAAATCTGTTCTGGAAGAGCAAAAGGTTCAGGCAATGCTGTACTTAAATGTCTGAATTTTATTAACTTTAGTGCATTTATAACCCTCTATTATATTTCTCTTTAACCAGAATCTGGGTGGATGTAGTTTTTACAACTGTTTATGTATCAGCATCGATATCGATAGATATGTACATTAGAAGTATCGGATAACAGCATTGGCCTAGAATTTCTATACTGGTGTATCCCTACATAATACGATAAGGGACATAAACTAACAAAGTAAAAAAAAAAAAATGTTGACTTTAAACAAATTTGGGGCTTAATTTAATTTGAAACACATCTACTCACTGCTGAGTTGTTAAGAATGTTTGTGCAAGGAAATCAAAAACTGATTTAAAACAATTAGTTAAAAAGTACCGCCCAATTATTACTTTGCAATTTGCATTACAATTACGCATACGTTAAATTCTCCCACTGCTTTCTCTTACAGTAAGAAACAGAGCCTGACTGACACACTCATGTGCATGAGTTTAAAAGATACATTGTTTCATAATTGTTCAGTTAGGTTCATTTTCTTCGCTCCGTCTTCTAAAAGTCAACCCGAAAATTAAGTGGACATTTTTTACCTTGTTAGTTCATGTTCTTGCTTATATTAACCACGATTCATCATATCATATAATTTAAAAGCCAAAATTCTTGTTTTGCCAAAATCTTTGATTAAAGTGTAATGAATTCTGCCTGGCTCTAAATATCCTCTGATGCTGGATTACATCACCAGGCACCATAGGCAGGGAAAAATAATATTAACCCATAATATCACAGCTTGATTTCCCTTCCCCTTGTCCTCCTAAACTCCTGTAATACCAGGACTTCATAGAAGTTCTCCACAATTGACTGCAGACTAGCACACAGGCCTGTTCATTTGGAAACACCTGCTTTTCATGATCCAATCAAATCCCTATGGATAAACTCATGTCCTACACATAATCCCCCAACCCTAAAATCCCCCTCCTGTTTCACCAAGAAATTTGTCACATTAGGAAAGAAACATGCATTCTGATTTCAGGTTCATGTTAAACAAAGGACTGTAGGGGTAATTAGCTTCATACTGACTGATATTGATTGATTGACTGACATTTTACCATTTTACAAAGATCTGATTTAGTGTAACCAGTTTAGTGAACTGATTAACTAATTTGGTTACTGTACAAGCACATAAGCACAGTAAATGAGTTTTCATGACTGAATGCGACCTGTAGACCTGTTAGAAGAGGCATCTTCAAGACTGAAACTTCTCCCCTTGAGGAGAAGGCTTATTTTTTTGCAAGATATGTTTTAGACCATCACTTGTGACCGTAGTGCTAATCCCTCAAGTGTGGTTCAGTCAACCACAACATACCTACAAATACCCTCCTGCCTCTCTCCTCTCCCCACCCCCCTCTTTCAGACAGTCATTAGAGTGGAATGCGTCACTGTGAATCAGAACGGATGACTGCACTTGTACCGGAACTGCACCTATTGGGCAACATTCTCCGAATGCCTACTTTCTGCTATACAAGTCTCATCTTCCTTTTTTCACTCAGTCTGTTGCTTGTTCTCACTTCCTCAACCAAATGCCCATCAACACACGTAAGGCAACTCTTCAGAAAGCTTTTAACACCTGTGGCTTGAAGTGTACCAAAAAATGACATTCTTTGAATTCTGTCTCTTTCGGTCGGTAGGTGTTTAAATAAACAAAAACTGTAATAGGAGCCCAGACTGCGTCCAGGATACCTCTTGTACCAAACAGTGAGGTCACTGCAGGTAGTGCAGAACACAGACCAAGCACATAGGGTGGGGGCTCACTTCAGAATATACTTCACCTATGAGTCTCCATCACACACCGTAAGCCACCCTCTAAAGCCTGACATAATAATTTAAAAGTCAGAGATGTCACGTTGGATTGAGCATGACATGCACAGTCTGAAAAAGAAGTTCTGGCTTGATGTTTAGATCTCAAATGCAAAATCTATACTGATGAAGATATGATGACAACAGTAGATAATTCACTTACAGCCTCAGAAACATGTAGTTTTGACTAAGTTCTCTTTCAACACGCTCACAATCATCAAATTCATACGCTTGGGGAAGGGGTCCGAAGCATAACATAAGGTTCTTTCACACATTGTGTGCAATTACACATTTCCACCAAAGAGGTCTCCAGATCCTCAAATCTTAAATGGTGCAGCTTTAATAGAGTGACTATCCAGAATGGGCTACTACCTCATGGCTGCAAAATTTATAGATTTTAACACATATAAACAAGTGAATCAGGTCTAGAGTATCATGACTTACTGTACCTTTAGGTTTTCGTTATTCCAATTCATTGGCAAGGAATTCCGAAAACTGCCCATGTACAATAACAGGCCTATTCATGCTCCGCCCACAAATGCATTATTTGTAGCTACTGTTGCAAGGTTGGACAAGCGTTAAAGAATAATAGGATTATGCTGTTGTAGCTAATCATGACTAGGCAGGTTGGAAACATAGAAACTGCCACCATGCTAATGTTAGCTCGATTACACAACAATAAACCTACACTGGTCTTACAGTGTGACCCTTTCACATGCATACAAAATAAATATGATTTGAAATTAATAATGCACCCTCTAGATTGATTTTCTAACAGTTGTGTGCAACAACTTCTTAGAAGGTTTGATGTCATTTTTGCCAACATTCTGTAAAGCTTGTCCAACTTTTGAACAGTTCCTTTTGAAGTTCTGCGTCATTCTGTAGTCGGCATTTTGACCGTACTAGGAACTCTAAGGGTGGATCCGATATCTCTAATTGCTGCCTCCTAGATTCTATGACCCATTTAGCCATGACCCAGAAACTGCTCATACTCTGTCATCTTCAAGGATGTGTCAATTCTTTAAATGCACTCGGAGGAATCGAGGAGAGAAAAGGCTTCCAGACCGAGGAGACACACATGCATCTTATGTGGAAGTCTTTTTTTTAATCGTAACGTGTGATGTAGTTGTATCACAATTTCTCTGCTTCCACCTCGTGTAGTCATTGGATGATCACAGTTAATGGCATGGTACTACCTAAGGGTGATGAAAGTTAACTACATTGTTGCTGTGCACTAACATGCCATCACTACATCAGTTTCACTGCAGTGCTAAAAATGATCCACCACCCAAATAATACCTATTCTGAGGGGGTCCTGACCATGGAGGAACAGGGTAAAAGGGGGCTAACAAAGTATGCAGACGGACTACAGTCTGTAATTGTAGAACTACAAAGTGCACATATATGGTAAGCGGAGCTGATAAAACGGACAATGAATGTAGAAACAAGTAGGTGAACTTAATTAAGTGGCCGGTTGGTGTAAGTGTTTATTATCAGCAGATCTGCGAACTCGATGATTGTGAAGGATGTCTCGTTTGACAAGCAGGTTTGGCATGGTTTCCTCTGTTCTCGTGTCTTATCCTTGCATCTTTTTTCATTTCCTCAGAAGGAGGAGCTAAGACGTAATGAAAGGAAGCAAGGAAATGAGGAAAAATGATTACATATTGCATATTTTCTCTATTAGAAAAATTAATGCAGTTTTCGAAAATCACCTCCGTCACGTCCTCTGCTAAACAAACCTGACACATTTTGTCCTGTGTACAATTTCCTCCTGAAAGTCACTGGAACCTTTGAATTAGCAGGTTTGTTTAACAGTCAAAATACAAACAAAGGCTACATACATTCTATGTGCAAACGAATAGTCCTACATACTGAAAAAATAGGACTACTATTGAACTTCGACACCAGCTACTCAAATTCAGACTACTACTGCCAAAGCTACTTAATTACCACATTTGCAAAATTTTATATCAGCGATATTGTACCCTGTGGTAAACAAAGATGTTCCAGAATTTGAAAATGATATTCATTCTTCTCATAGAGAAGACAAGCTAACACCTTTAATTAGCTTTAAACTCCTAATATGGGTACAACAGTGACTGCAGAATGAAGCATGACTTCAGAGTTGTATGAAAGAACACTTTGTGGGAGGAGCATGGATAAGTCAATTCTAAGTTATTCTGTGGTGTTTGGCTCACCCTTTCTATAAACACTTGTGACATCATCTTTCAATGAGTGTGAGTATGTTGCTCTTCCTAAGGCACGGATTGTTTTCACACACCCATATACTTCTGGGGAGCTACAGTTCCGTACAAAGCCTTTGAGCCAGGAATTTGCCACAGGCAAACAGTTGACCTGAGACGTTGACATAACAACCAGGCTACAACTCAGAATAAAAGAACAGGTTTGTATTGTCTATATCCAAGGAGAGGCTCTGAATTTTGCACCCAAATCACATGGTTTTATCCAAAATATTTATAAAAAAGTTTTTATGATAATTAAAAAGAGCTTTAAGCTCTCAAAACAGCAGCGTGTCAGACCGCAAATAAGTTGTATACCTGACCACCTACGTCAGTCACTCTACTTCAACAAACACTTCCGTATGTGTACTGATTGTCACAATGATATGCCTCCTCGCAACAGCAACTCATCATTCACTTAACGCCTCTAAAGCTCTTCCTGGTTAAATCTACTAGCTGAACAAACCTTCCGACTGAGTCAGGGTGCAGTCTATCATTTGGGCCTCAAGTAAATGTGCAGACATTTTATGACAAAGACTTAAAGTAATGATCAAGTATATGTAACTGAAGAAATAGCACTGAGCACAACTTGAAAAAAGGTTAAAAAAAAAAAAAAGGATGTGCTCTACCCACTTTGATTTCGTGACTGATTTTAATCCCCACAAACTCTGACTAATAGCAAGTACTAATTTCACAGTAACAGCATGCATGCTAAACCTCTGTGAAGCGAATATGATGAAATACAATATCATGAAGCAGTCAGCAATTATTTTGTCATATCAAGACATGTCTTGTTGCCTGGCAGCTTTTGCAGTTTTGAAATCATATTAGGGAACTTTTCAGGCTTTGTTTGCATGTGGAAACATGCCTTATAAACTTGCACTGTAGTACAGCTTCATGAACAGACTCGCTGTTGTTGTAAATGAGTCAAAAAGTTGACGTAACATGAATAACAGCACTAGATATTTAGACCCATTGTCAAATATTTCAAGATGGTAGTATGGTGTTGACCATGAGAGAATTTTGTTTTCAGAGGTAAAATTCACCCATATCTTCTTTGTCAGAGTATGATGTTTTTTTTGCTCCACCAGACGTCAAAAAAACGCTGTACGTGATAAGCGGGAACTTTCACACATCTTATCTTACACGTCTCTGAGTGGCCTTGATTAATCCACAAAGGCTTACGTAAGACAGAAAAAGATTATCTGAATTAACTAGCTGCTAATAACCAATAAAAATTAGTTATTTAAACCAGTGGTTCTCAGTGCTGGTGCTGGAGTACCACTGCCATGTGTTGCTGTAGTGCTTTCCTAGCTCTGACGCACCTAGATCACTTCAGGAAGGACTTGTTTATTAGCTCACTGGTTGCATCAGGTGTGCTGGGAGCAGAGAAAACTCTAAAAAGTGCACTTACTCCAGGACCAGGATTGAGAACACTATTGATCTAAATTAGGGGTGCTCTAATCATGAATTGCTTGCTGATTTTTATTAGCCCTTTTCTAACCTGAATCTCACACTGTCTGGGCTAAACGCACAAAACACACTAGCACACTTTCATCTTAGCAACTATCTGGCCAAAGTCACAAAATAAATAACAATTCTTTTGTAAATGGGCCAAACTCGTATTTTAAATTAACAAACAACAAGTTAGTTACCTATTTAAATAACATGAACCAAACAAAGCAGCCAAAGTAAAAGGCAACTGGCTATTTATCATGCGTCATACATTATTACGCTACAACAATTTGGTGCTGGCATAGTAGCAATGTTCAAATGCAGAATGAGTGTAATCGCTAAATTCAACCACTTCTACAAAAAATTAAATAAATAAATTGTTTAGATCAAAAATGTTTCGATTCCAAAAGTGTTTCCCTTTGGAAACAAACCGTATATTGCAGAGGAAACCATTCTCTTATATTAAACATACTTCTGTTCTATTTACATTAAAAAATGTATAACGATATACAAACAACTCTTTGCTCATTGCTAACTGGCTAGTTATCATCCATAAGGAGCAAAATAAGCATGTTAGCACAGTAATGAGTAATGTGTTCCTTTAAAATTTAGACTCACCTATGATGGATACTGTGACAACCTGTGAAGCAGCATAGCGCTTGGTCTTGCTGTTGTAGGCCACACAACTATAGTTCCCACTCTGATTCTCTTCCAGATTAGTGAAGGCTAGCATGGCAGTTTTCTGGGTAAGCTCAGCTCCATTAAAAAGCCACTTAAGCTCAGCTGCAGGGCTGGACACAGCTGAGCATGACAGCGTCAGGTTGGAGCCTTTCTTCTGGATTACATCATCAGGCACTTTCTTCATAGTAATGCTCTCAGGGCCATCTAGAGAATTAAAGCATTAGAGGTTATATGATAAAATTGCCAATGTATGATAAGGTTAGACTAGTATACATTAAGTAAACACTTTGTATATAACCTTTAAATGCATACAGAACTGCCACAAAAAAGTTCTGTACATGTACATTTTTGTTAATCTAGGTACAAACAAGGTAAATTTGTCCTCAAAGGAGCAACAACAGCCTTTAGCTCCATTAGTTTTTCCTCATGAACAAATGGTCAACTAAGGAGATTTCAAAATCAACGCTGCCATGGCTTGCTCGGCAGTTTGTCAGATGTTGCAACAGTAATCAAGAGAGTGATGGTAAAAGGTCAGATATAGAAGCTAGAAGGCTAGACATACAGCTGCTGTGTCTGGAAAATGCTGGACAGTGTGGTGAGCTGGACTTTCACACAGGGTATTCCTACTTTCACAGTAAGTCCTGGAGTTCTATGTCTTGTTTGTCCACCACTACACATAAAGCACATGCACCTCACGATTTGATTCGATTACGATTCAGAGGGCTGCAACGCGATTATAAAATGATTAACGATGCATCTTGATGCATCTTTTTTTTCCCTATACAGGATTTTTTTTCTCACTGTGTAAGGACTTCGTACTTTTAAAGCAAAGTATTTGTAATGATCCATAATGAATTTACTGTCTTTCATTAATAAAACAAATGGAAGTGACGTGGTGAACTGGAAGGCTCTCATTCACTGCTCTTGTTTGGAGCACATGACACACTGGCTGCCACTCATCTGTGATAAAATGCACAGTTATGGTGAACTAAGATCCTGTGGCAATAGATGTCCCTGCAGCACGTTACAGCTGTCCTACCCGTTTCCTTTAGTGATTTTATAACTTCGGTTTTGGTCTCATTGTAGAGAGCGGGGGGATCGCTGTGTCAGTAAAATATCTTCGAGACGGGACGTTGTATCTCGGCACCAAAGTGTGTAACAGAGCGAAAGCCCTGGTTCTCAACGACTGAGAACTGGCGTGCAGACTGCAGGTCACACAGCAACACGGTCTCGCCGAGCTAGTAGCTAACGAAAAGGCAAAAAGAGAAATTTAAGTTGAACATCTGGAGACAAATGGACTTATTCGCATTTATAAGCAGCGCAGTTGGTTTCTTTGTACGTTAAATTTGCAATGAGAGACTGTCAAGCAATAAAAAGTTGCGAAGACAAAGTCAGCTTCTCTTTGAAATTTTCCCCGTTCCACTTTAAATGGTGCAGCATTTACATTCTGGTGCCTCAGTCAAAATTTAAGGTGGAATGGGAAAATTCGAATGAGAAGCTGGCTTCAGCCTTGTAAAACAGTCGAACATTGAGAGACATTTTACAAGAAACTGTTCTACTTTTGAGGGAAAGTTTTCTGGCGGAGATGGGAGGAAAGCAGCAATAGCTAAAGCTTAAAGCAGAGCAAAGTAAGTCTGTGATTCCTTTTAGCCTATACTATGACATTAGCACATACTGAGACATACTGGACATAAAATGCTGCGACTCCCAAGATGGTTTAATTTTTGTTAATAGGACAAAATGGCTTTTCTTATTTGGGTTGTTGACTCCTGACCTAACCTAGCTTTTAATACAGAGGGTGCCGGTCGTATTTCTCTCTCATCCAGTTGTGTTTTTGTTATGTGTACGTCACAGTGTCCGGGCGCTGCACTTCTGCACTTTCAAGTTCTGCCTTCTGCGCTTTGTCAACATTACGTTATCAATCAAAATTTAGAAAATCTATTTTTGACATTTGTGAATCAATTCAGAATCGTTCACGTCCACATCGCGATGCATCTAAGAATCCCCCCCCCCTACTGTACATGCACCCACACCACTAAGCCACACTCTCCTCTGCTGGGTACGGCTGACTCTTATCTAGAAGTATTTCCATGCACCTGCATCAAAGCCTGTCTGAACTAGACATGCTCTTTGTTCCACGGCAATGATGTTTGCCCTGTGGAGTGCACCATTTACAGAGCCTGAGGTTATGACTAACAGATTTGAAAGGCAATCACTGTTCTAGTGTTGGAGCTTTGTGTCAGACGAAAAGCTCAGTGCTAAATATATGTTGACAGTATTTCTTCATTGTGGTCAGTGGCACGGTGTTAAAGAAAAGAAGAGTAAACTGTGGTCAGTTAAGATTTACTAGGACTAGCAATGATTTTAACAAGGCTTTGTGGTTCAGAAGCTTGCTCACATGTGACTGATTCTAAACAGATAATGATATGTTGCTGTTCCTAGTGATATGTAAGCATTTATGAACATAATCTAAATAAATAACAAAACACATTTACTCTTGAAAGTGGTAAATTATGTCATGCTACTTCATTTTAATCATACGTTTGACTGCATATTATAAGATCTAGCATAATTATAGTGTTAAAAGTTATGAGTGAAGCTGATTGTCACAATGTGGTTTGGATAGTTACTGTCAGTATGAACCTAATAAATAAACCTAAAGCCAGAGACGTATTACATGATAGCCCACTTTAATAGCATATTACAAATACCATCTCAACTATCAATGTGTGCTTGTTATAAACCCAGGTGCAGAAGAGAGCAGTTTAGTATGTCATCACCTAACTGTGTGCAAGTACTTTCTGTACAGCATGTCAGCAAACATAGCTGTTAGCACTTGCAGTAGTCTGTGGATAAGTTGATGTATGTTGTATGTTTGCTGATGTTATGACAAAATCTGGTAAAAATGGTAATTTAACAGGGGAAGGAAAAAAGTTTTTAACTTTAACGTAACAAGATGTTATCCAAAGTCATTATAGATCAATTCTATTGGTCCAATCATCATTAAATGTTAACACCATGTAAAATGTGTTTCCAAATTACAAAAAAAATAAAAAACAGTTTTTGATATGACCATGACAATATTTACATATTAGGGCTGTCAAAGTTAATGCACTAATGACGTTAAATTCTTAACAGCACACATAGCTTTTTAATGGCTTTTAAAGTGATATCTTCAGCAAACTGCACTGCATAGTGCTTGTGGGAGACCTATGAATAAATGAACAAGCAGCAATCTAACAAAAGCAATAAGAAAGTGGAAAGCTAACAATTCCCCTCGAGAGCCTTCACTGTAACAAGAACCCATGAGCTGTATGAATGCTAATGAGAGGCTACAATCATGGAGGTGCTGGAACCATTGACTGTCTTTTTGATATATATGATACATATAGCCAAAGTTCTTTTCACAGGTGAGATCAATTGTATATTTGTTGGTGATGAAAATTGGAAACTGTGTTCACTCTATGGAAGTTACATGATTTTCATGTTCAGGTTCATGCAAAGCCTAAATTCACATGATGAAAATAATATATGTTCCTGAATTATCAAAGGTAATAAATGCAGACTGACTGAGCTTATTTTGTCCACTTTAGCCATAACAAAATGTACTGTAAATGAAAAATCTTGTTGGGTCAAATCTGAGCGAACAAGACCAATGTGTTTTTTGTGACTAACTACACAACAGTATAAATTTTGGACAGTCCTAGTGTGTATACATGTGATCGCAACCCATTACTCACAGCTAACACTCATATTGAAGGCGGGGCTCTTCACTGACTCCAGCAGATTCTCAGCAATGCAGTAGATTGACCCACGCAAGTCCGTGCGCAACACTTCGGTAATGATTAGCTGGCTACCGTTCAGCACCAAGTGGTTTCCGTCTACAACCACAGGTGTTGAACCATTCAGCCACTTGTAAGAGAGGAAAGAGCCTTTGGCAGAACAGGTCAGGATCACAGTGCTGTTGAATTCCACAGCTTCAGGGAGGCTGGAGATGACCGTCACATCTGCCACAGGTTCTGCAGGAGAAAAAGGAAACTACAAGTTTATCACAAAGAACAGAGAGGGATAGAGAGACCGATAAGAGGGGGTCAAAGACATTCAAAACATCATCTTTAATATTAATTCACTGTCAGCTTGAAACGTCACCCTAGTAAACCAGATTTGTCACCACAGCAACATAAATTTCTAGCCATTAGTTGGTATATTTAGCTTTTACTCCAGCCAACCTTCTGAGATCTCCTTAACCCCTTAAAGTCCCAGACTAATTACATACTAGGTTTATTATTCAGTAACTACAGGGACTTCAATGCAAACTGACTGAGCTATTCTCAGGTTATAGAAGTGTGTAATAAAACTTTGGGCCATTTAAGGGGTTAAAGTAAAACCAGACCACAACTAGATCCTGAATTAGATAATGTTACAAAATGACCTGGTGACTGTTTTCCACACTTCTACCTCAAAAGGCAATGTGTGTGTGAGTCAGTAAGAGAGAGAGAATGAAAGGGAGATAGAGGACGCCACCCAATTTGGAGTACAATGGAGCACATTTATCTCAGTGTTGACTTAAGTCGTTCCAGGTACGATAACGCACAAGGTAGAAAAGGTGTCTTTGCTAGAACCTGAGCCTGGCATCCACTGAAATCTGTTTACACATTCATTTTAAATGAGCAGATGAGGTTGCATAAGAGTTATGTATGACTTTTTCCACACTCCATTCAAAACTGCCACGCCCTTTCTCTTCTCTGTGCTTGAGCAGCTCAACAATTTTGCTACACTTGACCTGTTTTTTTTAAACTAAAGGCTTCCACATAGCAAAGGTGCCATTTGTCCAAAAACTGTCTATAACACTGATGTCTAATGTATGATATAGGGGTAGAATCAATATTAGTGATTTTACTATGACACCATAATGTGTTACTCAACAAACAGACATGGGTAGAGCTGCCTAGAAACCACTTAGGTCAAGATGATGTTACTTCAATGAAAAGTAGAAGTAGCTACCAAAAAACAACGTAGTACTTAAGCAACTTAGCAGTAAAAAAGTATTAGTGCAAAAAACCTACTCAAGTACTGAACTACACTGTGACTTCTTAATAGGCTACATGCAGCACCAAGTAGTATAGGAACTGAAATTTGTTGGTTGTTGTTGTTCTCTTCTGGGATGCATTTCATCTAAAATAATTTAAACTAAATGTATATTACTAAAATGGAACTGGATAATACAGTATTTTCCTTCCCTCACATGTATACTTGAGTAATTTTCTTCTCAGTACATGTTATGCAGAACTGTTCCTAAGCTGTACAACACACAAATGACAGACACACAACGCTAACAATACACTTGTGAGGAGCAAATGAGTACTTCCATTACCTTTTATTGACCTCTGCAAGCAAGTAATACCACACCTAAAGCTAACCCTAACCGTTTAGTAACTTTTAGTTTTCCCAAAAAAGTTTGCTTTGTGGTGAAAACAGCATGTTTTCTTGTGAGGATCAGTAAAATGTACTCACTTGACAAAATTGTTTTGTTTTCCTATCATCGTGAGGACGTTCAGTCCTCGCAAAGTGCTAAACACAAGCACACACACACACACAGAGAGAGAGAGAGAGAGAGAGAGAGAGAGAGAGAGAGAGAGAGAGAGAGAGAGAGAGAGAGAGAGAGAGAGACTTTTTTTCGAGATATTAAAAAGTGACCTACCCAGCACCTCCAGTGTAGTTTGCCCCTGATTTAAATTAAAGCCTGCGTCCACTAGGACAACTGAATATTGCCCAGCGTCCGCAGGACTTAGCGGTCCGAGCTGGAACTCATAGGTGGTCTGGTTGTAGACAACTCGACCGTTGTACGCGGGGGGGACTGTTACCTTTTCAGCAACGCGATCGTACACGGCAATTGATTCACCAGCACTGCTCACAAAAGAAAACTTTACCGCGTTGGGTTGGAATGAGGCTGGAACTGTTAAGGGGAATGTGGCATATTTTCCCTTCACACCGCTTATTTTCAAGGGCAGTAGAGGAGAGCAGGAGCAGCAACCTGAAAAAGAACATAAGTATGAACTGAGGGCAGTTTTACAACAGGTGTTTAGTTTAAAAAAAAAAACAAAGAAAACTAGGATTAAATAGAGAGGGCGTACATGAAGAAAAAAGGTAATCTCCTCAGTCAAAATAGGCTGCACATGTGTAGAACTGTTTTATTTTACTAAATTGTCCATTAAAACGTATTCAATAGACATGCTAATGATCTATTAAGCTAAATCTACAGCTAATGGCGAGCTAGCTGAAGACATGTATGCTACTGTTTCTTCAGAAAAGGTTACTTACTAATTGCTGCGAGAATCATTAGAGGAGCTCTCAGGCTGTACAGGACCATTCTGAGCTCTGCGTGTCTCTCGTCCACAGACAGGAATGTGCTGTGTTGATTCTCTCTGTCACTTTAGCTCAGATGAGAGCAAGAAGACACACCCAGATAAGCTCAAACCCGCCTAGTCTCACCTTCTCTCTTCGTCTCACACTGACTAGTCACCTCAGCAAGGGTTAAACCCGCCTCTAAAAACGCTAAGATTACTCAGAGGTTGGTCTGGAGGGCTCTGCTGCTACTGGTGATGTTTGCTATAGTAGTTACAGACACAGGTAGGCTGAGGAGTGGCTGACCGATGCTCCATAGGCTAATTGTGTTTGAATAATTTTGAAAATCGACTAAAAAAGGTCCATTTTGTGTAATTATTGCAACAAATGACCAAAACAGGCTTTGGGTTGCTTGGACAAGGTGGAAGCATTTTAAATTCCAGTTTTGTTTTAATAAAAGAATCGAAAAACAGGCCACTTCACTGCTACTGCCACATAAACACTAAACTCTTACGTTGTTGGTCCATATTACGAGATTAACCGCAACTTTCACCCATGATTATTTGAAACATTGCTCTCTAATTTTAGAAGAGATAAAAACTTTACGTTTTTAGAAATGGTAAACAACATTCACGCAAATGCAATATTAACTGTACCTGACGTTTTTTGTCTTTTAGGAAAGAAAAGGTGCATCTTGAAATATGATCTGTGAAAATGTACACCTGCTTACAGTATACTGAAGACGTTATCAGTCAATCACAGAGCGGCCCTGTTCGGAAAGACTGCAGAGCGACAGCACCATCTGCTGGACAAAAAAGATAATGTTTTTAATTTTAGAAGGCTTGACGAATCGCTGAGATGAAAATAAACTTCAGATTAAAAATATAATAAAATCTTTAAACCTTCTCTAATTTAGTTACACTTGAAAGGCATAAGCTGATGTATATGTATAAATATAAGCAAATGTATATTTATTTACTGTGTTGTTTGGTAATTCTTTTTAGACACTAAAACATACACAATAGTCAGTTATATTGCGTGTCCTGTTTATCATACAGCACTACAGTATACTACAACACTAACACCTTTTCACATACCTATAAACCTAATTTTACAGTTTTACATTATTCAGCAGCAGCAGGGCACCATGTAGATACTGGGACACACCTCCTCATTGCTAACAGGTGGATAAAATTAAGCACATAGCCTTGCAGTCTCGAAAGACACAGTGGCAGTAGAATGGGTCGTACTGAAGAGCTCAGTGACTTTAAGCATGGCACTGTCATAAGATGCTGCCTTTTCCGTTTCAGCATGTCTGTGCCCCAGTGCACAAAGCAAGATCCATAATAGCATGGCTGGGTGAGTTTGGTGTGGAAGAACTTGACTGGCCTGCACAGAGCCCTGACCTCAACCCTATCCAACACCTTTGGGATGAGCTAGAATGGAGATTGTGAGCCAAGCCCTCTCATCCAACATCAGTGTCTGACCTCACAAATGCTCTTCTGGATGAACAAGCAGAAATTCCCACAGACACACTCCAACATCTTGTAGATTGCTTCCCAGAAGAGTGGATAGCTGCAAAGGGGGGACCAACTCCATATTAATGCTTATGGATTTAGAATAGGATGTCATAAAAGCTCCTGTAGGTGTTAATGTGTAGGTGTCACAATACTGCCTACATAATTTTTCACAGAATCTTTAGCTTTTTTACTTTAGTAATCTCAAAATAAAAGTCATCACATCATATCTCGTACCTGGGCAAGGCCAGATGGTAATTATCAACAAGGGTATTACTGTCCAGAGAATTTATACTTAATTTTATGTTTTTGTTTTGTGTTACAAAGAAGCAAACTATGCTTTTCTGGAAAGATTCATTGGAACTGCTGTGAATGGCAGATATTGTTCCATTCAGACATCATTTTCTAGAAGGCAGCAGAGGAAGACGCTAATTCATTAGATACCTGACAGAACCTGAACAACCCTTCATGGGTGATGAAGCTATTAGGTCATGGCTGTCCTTATGTGGTATAAAGCCAGGCCAATCAAAGTAGCACCCCTTAGCCATAAAAGCATATTATCCATGTGTGTGTGTCTGTGTGTGTGTGTGTGTGTGTGTGTGTGTGTGTGTGTGTTTAATCTGTTTCCCATCTAGTCTTTGACCTGGCGGAGTCCTGCTTAGATTGTGAAACCAGACAAGTCCTAGGCTTCTTGTTGCTCTTTGGTTACTGGCAAAAGCTAGCAGACGAAACAGACTTTAAAAGTATTCCACCACTGAATATAACCTAATACATAAAAAGTTCTTCATTTTGTTTTAACAAATCTTCTTTGGTCTGTCCTGTGATGGACTGGCAACCTGTCCAGAGTGTAGCTTGTCTTCTGCCCAAACCATTTCACACAAAAAATGTATAAAATTTTAATCTCATTATAAGATTAGATTAAGAGGCCCTTATTAGTCCCACAACAGGGAAATTTCACCTCCGCATTTAACCCATTCTTGCAGTGAAACACCTCATACACACTAGTAAACACACGCTAGAGGGCAGTGAGCAGCCCTATCCACAGCGCCCGGGGGAGCAGTTGGGGGTTAGGTACCTTGCTCAAGGGCACTTCAGTCACGCACTGTCGGCTCAGGGGATCAAACCAGCGACGTATGGCAGTTGACAACAAATGGAACATGTGCTGATTGGAATCTGTATCACTATATAAAAAGAAAGTAGCCTAGAAAGAATGTATGTAAAACAAATAAACAGAATCTATAACTGAATATGTGTTGAAATGTTTTATGTATATTTTCACCATTGCTTTGGCCTAGAAGTATACAAAAGTCAAAAGAGTTTCATATGTTCATTGTAGAGGTAAGAAGCTGAACATCTAAAATAAATATAGCCAGTTGTGGTCTTTAAATTACAGATATAACGAAGAGTCTATGACAGCCTATGAATGACTAGAAACGTGCAGTTTTGCTTTTGAAAGTGTTCAGTGTTTGTTCATTCATTCATACATACATTCATTCATTCATTCATTATTTATTTATTTCACAGGCCTGACATTTTATGGCTTCTTACACATTTTAGCCAGTAGGGATGCTCTTTCTCACTGGCTATCGTGTGTCATAATCTAAAATAATATCCCTTTAAGGACCTTACAGCATCATCATGCAGTAGGCTACGGTTTATCTCAAAACTATCTACGACACAACACCATCGTCATCCTCATGCATGTGCAGTTTGCAGATCCTTGATTATTTCAGCATAGAAAAAGAAAAACAAAGTTTTGTTTTGTGCCTTTAATAAAAATTGGCTATATATTTGGTAATCACATGTCGTTTCTGAGAGGAGAGAGGGCCTCAGGTTGTTTTTGCAAGGCTGTCTATACTTGCTGTGGAACAACCTAATGATCTTACTATCTTTACATGGATCCTGACCTGTATCAGACTATTGTCAACTATAAAACAAATGGGGAATATCTTTCTGGTGTATCAAAAGCAGAAAAATGCGAAATCTGCAGCCATCCCCATCATGCACACCTGTATTGCATGCTGATAAATTCTGATGTAACATCTCTGTATAATGATGCGGGTCATACACGGAGATTGCTCTTTGTTCATAGACTTACATATATCACCCTAGGCCTAAGCTATAGAGGAATGCTACTTTATAAAGCATGATAGGTGATCACACATAATGATCGAGCAAGGCCTATTCTGGACGGTACCATCAGCATGTAGACAGCTCATAGGCAGTTTGTTTTCAGCATTTAAAAAGTCAACTGTCTACAAACTGTGATTATCAGTTGTATAAAGTATATATCTATATTCTCCTTTTTTGATACCTCACAGTAACCAGTGAATGACTGCATTGTGTAATGTTGTGCATTTTCATATACCTACAAGCTGTTATCTGTGAGCTGTTTTTAAATGTGACTTATTTGATCTTTTGTTCCAGGAGGAGTCCTGTATTATGTGAAGGGACCAGCGAGGTCTATTAAAGTCAAAGTTTTGTGTGGTTTTGAAGAGGTCAATGCATTGTTTCTTGAGTTCCATGAAAGCCAAACTGGAGCTCACACTGGCCAGAAAAAAACAAGGGATGCCATCTCGAAAAGGTTTTTCTGGCCTGGAATGTCAACAGACAATCGACAAATGGATGAGTAAACCTTACAACAGTCTAAGAGTTGATGTGTGGAAGCATAAATTTATAGGGTTGTTCTACAACCCCGTTTCCAAAAAGTTGGGATGCTGTGCAAATAATGAAAATAGTACATAGATAACAAATCAAATGTTGAAACTGAGAAATTGTATTGTTTAGCATTGTCTTGCTGAAATAAGCAAGGCCTTCCCTGAAAAAGACATCATCTGGATGACAGCATATGTTGCTCCAAAACCTGTATATATCACTTAGCATTAATAGTGCCTTCACAGATGTGCAAGTTACCCATGCAGTGTGCACTGATGCGCCCACATGCCATCACAGATGCTGGCTTTTAAACTGTGCATTGATAATAAGCTGGATGGTCCCCCTCCTTTTTAGCCGAGAGGACACAGCATCTGTGATTTCTAAAAAGAACTTCAGATTTTGTTTTGGCGGACAACAGCATGTTTTTCCACTTCACCTTAGTCCATCTTAAATGAGCTCAGGCCCAGCGAACACGGCGCGTCTGGATTCTGTTTGTGTGTAATTTCTTCTTTGCATGGTAGAGTTTTAACTTGCATTTGTGGATGCATTGATGAACTGTGTTCACAGACAGTGGTTTTCAGAAGTGTTTCTGAGCCCATGCAATGATTTCCTCTGCAGAATTGCATCTGTTTTTAATGCAGTGCCACCTAGGGCCCAAAGATCAAGGCCAGCCAGTATTGGTTTTTGGCCTTGTATCTGGCATACAGAGATTTCTCCAGATTCTCTGAATCTTTTAATGATGTTATGTACCATAGATGATGAAAGTTCTTTGCTATTTTACGTTGAGAAATGCTATTCTTGTGTTGTTGCACTATTTGCCCATGCAGTCTTGAACTTGAGGTGAACCCCTCCCTATCTTAACTTTAGAAAGACTCAGCCTCTCTGGGATGCTCATTTTTATACCCAATCATGTTATTGACCTGTTGCCAATTCACCTAGTTAGCTGTGAGATGTTCCACCAAATGTTTTTTTTCTGATAACTTTACCAGTC